GCCCTCATGTACACGTGTGTGCACCATACATGCATGCACAATAGAGAGACGACATACAAGTGTCTTGTCTTCTCAAACCACAGAAAGGAAGGGCACTGAGAAGGGTGTGCGTGTTAGGTAGAGTTGGATCCCTTTCTGCTGAATTGACTTTGTGAGCTTTGTGCTCTCCTGCTTCCAGAGCTGAGAGGCTAGGCAAGGTTGTCTGACCTGTGAGGCTCTGAGCCTACCTGCTGCTGTAATATCAGTCATCTGACTGGGCTGGTTCCCGCCTCCGTGTCCTTTGTCTGTTCTGCATGTAGAAATGGGCTTTCTTATCTTAAGGTCAGAGGCACAGGAGGAAGCAGCTGAGGGCTGCCTGGTGTCTGCTGCACATCTGTAAGCCACACGTTTTGTCTTCACAAGCTTTAGGCCTCAGACTTTGTTTCTTCATCCCTCACAGGCTCATCGGAACCTGTCCCAGCTCCCAAATTTTGCCTTCTCTGTTCCATTGGCCTATTTCCTTCTGAGTCAGCAAACAGACTTACCTGAGCACGAGGTCAGCTCTGCCAGGCAGCAGGCTTCCCTCCTGATGCAGCAGGCGCTCACCATGTTCCCTGGAGGTGAGTGCCACCTCTCATGGGGATGGTAACTCATCTTCCTGGGGATCGAGTCTAGATCACAGCCCCTCCATACATAATGCAGATTGCATTCCCTTAGTGTCCTAACGACTGCTGTAGGTCCAGTTAGACAGGAATCTACTCACTTCAGTGAGCCTACTACAAGTCTGGGGAGGTGTGAGACGGGGAGGGACAAATGTCTTCTCTGGAAGTTAGTTTCAGGATGGGAGAGTGGGACTTTTTGCAGACATAGTGTGTTAAGATAGTCTTTGGTACTATGGGAGGAAAAGCAGAAGTAGCATCTCGAGAGGCCCGAGGCTAGCCCACAGATACTTGGAAGGGCATTGACTGAGTGGCCAGGAGGAAGCCCAGGTCTTCTGCCCAGACATTCTCCCAGGCATGTGACCAGGAGAATAAGGCGAGGGATATCTTGCCCAAATCTTTTGTAAGAGTTTAAACAAAGTGGCACTGACACAAGCTCTGTGGGCAGCTGCTCCTCTGTGAGAAAGTTCCAGAACTAGTGCCATGTTGTAGATTCTGAGTTCCCTGAGTCTTGACCAGAACTCTGCCTACCAACCAGACCTGGCAACCTCAGGCAGAAATCCTGTTTGCTGACCCGGTGAGGGTCAGTTCTGTCACTTAGAAGCTGCCTCTGCCATCTGGTCTGATGTAGCTTGCAGTGCCTTTTCTGTTGGGGACCAGTGAATGAAAAGCATAGACTGGTGGCCCATGCGCTGTACTGCAGAGTAGGCACGCCCTCCTCACAGGATGCTGTGACGTGAGCATGTCCCCAGGAAGTCACTGGGAGGGCTGGTTTGTGTTTTGGTAGATTACCAGCATGTGAGCACCGCATGCAAAGAGAGCCGGGTTGGCTCTGTTGGCCTTCTGTCAGCTCCTGGTCCCTGTGGAGTTAGCTCTTACAGGGCACAGGCAACCCCACTCTCTAGTCTGTCTTCAAGTCTAACCTTCGTATGATAAAACATACAGCCGTCTATGCTTGGAGGGTCTAGACAAGTATCCTTGGACACAGATGAGACGAGTCCACAGGACTTACATCCGCTTCCCTAGAGTTTAGAGGAACCTCAGAGCCTAGTGTGAGAGACCCAGCCTCCGTACGAGTTTTATAATGGTAGCCAGAAACGACTCCTTGGCTGCCAGCCTCCTTTCCCTTCAGAACACCTAGTGGTATATATGGCAGTTACCTTCACGGCGTCTCTAGTGTTTTGCTGTGAGGCTGGGACAAGGGCTGCAGAATCCACGGAGCCTTTGCTTTCTTTGCAGTCCTTCTGCCATTGCTGGAGTATTGCAGTGTGCGGCCTGATGCCACGGTCTCAAACCACCGCTTCTTTGGGCCAGATGCTGAGATAAGGTACAGAGCCCTGCAGATGAGAGATTGACTGTCAGTCTCACTCTTAAAGGAGGCGAGGATGCTGCCCTGGGGGTGCCTGCCCATCTAGAGTAGTGGGGGATGGCCTGGGAGCCACATCCGTGTGCAGGGTCTCACTCGTGTGGACGGGTGAGCAGCTGCCAGTCTTGAGAGTGGGATTCGCAGGAGGCGAGGCCGTGGAGCTGGGAGCTGTCTGTCACCCATGGGAGGAGGAGGAAGGTGGCAGGACCTATGGCCATCAGTGTCATGAACTTTCCCCAAATTTCTAGACTCACATTTCTAAAAAACAAGAAAAAACAGAAAAAGATGTGTCAGGTGGTAGCTTCTACCCCTCTGCAGGTTCCCAGTCAGCAGCTGTAAGCTGGCCTTCAGTGCTACTCCACACAGAAACAGAAACATATACTCATTGGTGTCTTTTCTCACATTCCTGTCAAGTGATTTCTAGTACTCAGGCCATTCAAGCTGTGAGAAGTGTGCCCAGCCCCTCAGCATGTGGAGTGTCCCTGATTAGCAGCTGAAGGGTAGCCTTCTTTACTCCAAGGCACTATCCCTCTCCTGGATACCTTTGTCTCCCTTGGAGCTCTTGAGAAAGGTCCGCTTCAACCCTTGCTTCTCACAGCCAGCCTCCCGCCCTGAGCCAGCTGGTGAGTCTGTACCTGGGGAGGTCACACTTCCTTTGGAAAGAACCTGCCATTATGAGCTGGCTAGAAGAAACTGTCCATGAGGTTCTGCAGGCAGTGGATGCTGGAGACCCTGCTGTGGAGGCCTGTGAGAACAGGTGAGCTGAGCCTGACAGCTACGTTATTGCCTAGCTCAGGGAGGGCGCCCTGCTGCCATGCGTCCCTTCTGTGTGCCCTCCTGGGTCTTTATCACAGACATTGGGCCTCAGATTTCAGTTTAGCTTTTGAAGGAGCCACCAGTAGTCTTGGGCATGGCTGTTGCTGTCCACACAGATGTGAAGGTGTGTGTGGGTGTTCTGCTGTCCACACAGATGTGAAGGGGTGTGGGTGTTATAGACCTGCCGTCCACACAGATGTGAAGGTGTGTGTGGGTGTTCTGCCGTTCACACAGATGTGAAGGGGTGTGGTGGTTGTAGACCTGCTGTCCACACAGATGTGAAGGGGTGTGGGTGTTATAGACCTGTTGTCCACACAGATGTGAAGGGGTGTGTGTGGTTATAGACCTGCTGTCCACACAGATGTGAAGGTGTGGTGGTTATAGACCTGCTGTTCACACAGACGTGAAGGGGTGTGTGTGGTTATAGACCTGCTGTCCACACAGATGTGAAGGTGTGGTGGTTATAGACCTGCTGTCCACACAGATGTGAAGGCCTGTGTGTGGTTATGGTCCTGCTGTCCACACAGATGTGAAGGGGTATGGCTTGTTGGTTTGTTTCTGGTTTTCTCCTGTTTCCATGTTTCTGTGGTGATTGCTTCTCTTACCTTTCTTGACACAAATTGGAGACAAAGCAACCAGAACAACCTCTTGACATCTTTCATACATCTGGGATTTTCTGTAACCTAGAGCCTCGTAGGCTGCATTTGAGAATCAGTCCCTTGCCCGTTTGTGCAGTTTTGCTCACGGTCCTCACGAGGAGCCTGGGTCTGAGAGTAGCTTCAGCCAGGCTGGTTCTGAGGCTGTGCTCTGTCCTGGCTGTGTCATCTCCCTGAGCCAGGGAAAGAGGCTCATGAGGGCAAATTCTGGGTTGCCGGGGGAAGAGAGGAGGAATGCTTTTTTTTTTTTTTTTTAATCTGGTTTTGTGTTTTTATTGGGGTTTATGAGCAGGAGCTGCCACCATAAGGTATGCCCCTCCCACCAAGCAGGTCCGTCCTAATCCTCCTGCGCTTTCTGGGACTTTTTTTCTTTGTGCTGCTCTTTGTGCAGCTAGCAGCAGCCTTGGGCTCCTCCTTAGAAAATTTCCTTTTCTTCCTTGGGGTGGGGCTTGCTGCCTCTTCTGGTTCACTGGCCACTTCCTCCTTGGGTGAAGATTTCTTTCTCTTAGGAGCACTTATGCTGCTAGTGGCCATCTCTTCAAGGTCACTGGCCATTTTTGTTTGTTTGTTTGTTTTTTGAGACAGGGTTTCTCTGTATAGCCCTGGCTGTCCTGGAACTCACTCTGTAGACCAGGCTGGCCTCAAACTCAGAAATCATCCGCCTGCCTCTGCCTCCCAAGTGCTGGGATTAAAGGCATGCGCCACCACTGCCCGGTTAGGACTGCTCTTGAGGCCTCTCAGTCTCGTGAATACCGGGCTAGATGCCCCTTCCTGCACTGTCCTCTGCTCCATGCCCACCCGGAGGCAAACCCCATACAGTAGCAGTGAGGACTAGCATACCCAGGGATTCTGTTGAGGACACTTAGTATCTCACCAGACTACCCACAGCTGTCCTCACTTCTGTTTCATGGATGAAGGGACCAAGTTACAGCCCAGGCTCTCAGAGCATGCTCTTGCCTCGGGGCTGTGGGCTGTGGTAGCACAGCTTCAGCCCGAGTGCCATGGGAAGCTTTGCCGGAGACAAGCCAGTTCGTGCTGGCTGTCAGGCTGGGTATGGGTAGCTTGGCTCTTGCACTGTGGGTACCAGTTTATCTGCCGTTGTCTGCTCTGGCCTCAGGCGGAAAGTGTTGTACCAGCGTGCACCCAGAAACATCCACCGCCATGTGATACTGTCTGAGATCAAGGAGGCTGTTGCTGCCCTGCCCTCGGTAAGAGGGGTGTGGAACTGGGTGTTGGTCATGGTACAGCTACCCGCTGGTTGGCCTGTATGCCATGTGTGGGCTAGAACTGCTGCAGAGGGTCTGTCCCCATGGCCAGTTTCTCTGGGCCTTTCTCACCGTGTTACTGCCTCGGTGAGCTATCTTTCTGTGACAGACACCTACGTCTTCCTCACAGAACCTGCAGTAGTTCATGTAACGAGTGCCCCTGCAGCAGAATCTTAGCTCTGTTCTCACAGATCCCTGTGTTTGGCACTTTGGGGTGTGGCCAAGCTGGATCAGTTGGTGAACCAGCAGCTCAGTGGAACCCAGTGGCTCTCATCCCTAGACTGGTCTGCAGTCAGGACAGTCATCAGCGACATGTGTACAGATAGTGCTACCTATGTGAAGTGCCCTTTGTCCTACGTTCCACTAATTGGGGCAAAAGGTCACATGTTTCCCTGACTGTTCTCTGAGAGAGACTGTTCAACCCAGACCTAAAGTTTCTTAGAACAAAAACAGCCATTTCTACCAGAGGTTGTCACTGCCTCCTGGCAGATAGGTCAAGTCTGAGTGGAGACCAGCTGAAGCTTGAGAAGGCAGAGCTGCCAGCACTGCTCCAGAATCTCTGTTTTGTGTCCTCTTCTAAAGGATGTGACCACACAGTCTGTGATGGGGTTTGACCCTCTGCCTCCTGTGGACACCATCTACTCCTACGTCAGACCAGAGAGGTACCACCCCTGCTTTTGTCTTCACACCCACACAGACCCACTTTGGTACTTTGGGGCTCACTGGGGCTGCCCTTACAGACTAGAAGGAAAATGGCAAACACAAGCTAAGGGGCTGATCCACTCAGGAGGAGGGGAAACAGTATGTGTGTGTGTGGGGGGCTGCCTCAGTCCACCAGGGGTCTGAGCACCTCCTTCCCTGGAGATTCTGTAGTAAGGTGCAGAGTGCAGAATAAGAAGCCACCTCCAACCTGAGGCACTGTAGCACACAGCAGACACCAAACCTAGAACCAGAGATGTGTAGAACCTGTGAGAAAATGCCCAAGAAGTAGGACATGCCACACCGGGAAATGACAGTCACCTGCTTTGTAGAAAGTTGTGCCCCAGCCAGACAAAGGGTGGCAACTGGTCCTCTGCTGTGTGCAAGCTGTCTTCCAAGAGCACAGTGTAAGGTCCAATGAGCGCTGAAGGAAGGCCCGTGTGGCTGAGCACAGAACCAGGGAGTGGGCCAAGCACTAACATGGCCATGCCTGACTCACGGGCCGCCGTGTGCATGGAGGCAGCTGTTAAAGAGTCTGGGGCTGGAAAGAGTTTGCTTCCCTCCCCTCTGACCTTTCACGGCTGCCCTGCCTGGATCCACTGCTCCCGTGTCTGTCTCAGGCAAGGGCCACAGGCCTTCTCAACCATGACAGAATGTAGAGAGTAGAGGCTCCTGTTAAAGTTCTAGATTAGTATGAGAATTTGTAGTGGGCTCAGAAGCATCCTAACAGGCTGACATAGCCCAGCCGTCCTGGCTTTCTGCTGTCCTCCTGGGGTCCCCAAATGCAAGTGTGACCACACTGTGCTGCAGAACTGTGCTGTGGCCCCTGCAGGAACCTCCCAGTGATGCACTGACCTTTCTTGCCAGCCGTTTTGTGACTGACCTGTCTTCCCCAGCCATCAAATACTGTAGTCACCGTGTTTTATTCCCATGGATCCAGCAGACGAGGTCCCTAAAGAGCCGGCATCTGGGCCTCCTTACCCTCACTTCCCTTGTTGCCCTGGGTCAGGCCAGTAGTCAGCACCGCCGACCCCAGATCCTGATGTGCAGTTGAGGGCCCAGAGCCTGAGTTCCACTCCAAGGCTGCCTGTCCCCAGCAGTCAGGAGACTGGGTAGGGACAGCTGAAAAGGGCTGGAACCCCACAGTGTCTGTTAACTTTCATTTTCTGACCTCTTTCTTTTTTAATTTTCAGGCTGAGTCCAGTCAGCCACGGAAACACAATTGCCCTCTTCTTCCGGTCGTTATTGCCAAATTACACCACAGAGGTATGTTGATCGAGCACATGGGTCTTTCCTCTCCCAAGTTAACACGGGCATGTCCTGCTCAGGGTGGAGGCAGGAGCAGCTGAAACTGCACCTGCCTGTGGTGCCATGCTTACAAGTAAGGACTTGGCCTGCTGGAGTTGCAGAGCCGCTGTCAGGTGAGTGGTGTGGGCTGAGAGGCGGCTCAGCATCACGGTAGGCTGGCTTTGGCGAAATGAGCGCATCTGGCTTTCTAGAGCTTCTTCTTCTTCTACTTCTTCTTCTGGGCAGGGACTTTGGGAGGGGACAGGGTCAATCCTGGGGCCTGAGTTGCCTCAGCCGCTGAACCCAGGATCTTAAGTCTATACAGACAGTCCCCACTTAGATGTGTCTCATTGTTCAGGGGGAGAGGCTGGAGGAAGGAGTGGCCGGGGGTCCGAACCGCAATCAAGGCTTGAACAGGCTGATGTTGGCCGTACGTGACATGATGGCCAACTTCCACTTCAACGACCTGGAGGTGCCTCGGGAGGACAATCCTGAGGGCGAGGGGGACTGGGACTGAACTGTCCAGATGCCGTGCCCAGAGCCGTGCAATCATGTTCCTGATTTCGTTTCTGGTTGGAGTTAACCAGTCCCGAGTAGAAATGCTGACCATGCCACCACTGTGTCTTTTGTTTTCCCTCTGAATGGAGTGGGTCATGCTCTGGGAGTGAGCTTCCTCCAGTGTCCTCAGAAGCAGTGAGCCACACACCGAATGCACCCTACTGTGTGCCTCACACTTCAGAATTTGTAACATGGCGTGTAGAAGGGTTGTCCCAGGGTTTACGGCACTGGGACCCCATCTGCTCCTTGCTAGAAGGCACTGCACCTCCAGGCCCAGTGTGTTTGCAGCGCTGAGGTCAGACCCAGGGGCCAAGCACACGATCTGCTGCTGAATGATTGGCCCAGCCTAGGAATCGTAGTAAAAAACTTGGCAGCTGGAAATGTGTCTCAGCTGGTAGACTGTTTGCTTAGTGTGCACAGTGCTTAGGATTCATCTCCAGCACAACACAAACACCAGCAGTTCTAGTGTTCATGTGTAATCTCAGCATTCAGGCGGAGAGAGGGACATGAGGACGAGAAGTTCAAGGTCACCCTCTGCTACGTAAGAGTTCAAAGCCAGTCTTAGTTACGTGAGACCTCGTCTCAGGAGAGATGCACGGGGGGGGGGGGGGGGGCTTAGAATTGAAAGTGAGGTCAAAAAAACAGGTTTGAGGCAGGAAATTGTCCTAAGCAGGGAAGGAACGCTCCACAGAGATTAAGGGGTGTGTGATCCTGCCACAAGCTGGGAACCCTGACCAAGAACCCCAGGCCATGGCAGGGACAAAGACCACAGCCAGGCCAGGCCAGAGGTCCATGTCTCCTGAGCTGTCTGGAAAGAGCCAGGCTACTGAGGTGTTACAAGCTGCACCCCAACAGAGCCCAGAGAAGGCTGTAGTCTGTGGAGCAGGATCTTAGTCGTGCGAGGGCCAGCGAGGGCCTTCTAAGTCTTGGTTCAGTGATGCCTTCCTGGGAGTTACCTGCTCAGACATCACTGGATGATTGGTGTGGAGTACACACAAGTAAAGCATGCTTTAGAAATGTCCTGAGCCTTCAAAATGGCTCAGTGAGTAAAGGCACTGGCTGCCAAGCCTAATGGCCCAAGTTCAATCCCCAGGACTCCTGTGGTGAATAGTGGGAGCTAACTCCTTCTATACTGCGTCCTCTGACCTCCACACACACGCTGTGGATGTGCACACCTACAGAAATATACCCAAGAAATGGAAAAGGGACGGCTTGGGGTTAAAGCACTGTGCAGAAGCTCAGCCTGTGAACTTAAGCACACATGGTGGGTGGCTTACAACTATCCACAATTCCAGCTCCAGCATACAAACATACACATAGAAATAAAAAAATATCTTTAAAAAGGAGGTCTTAATAGGTGCTCTGGGGCAAGGGGCCCTGGATATAACTGAGCAGGGGGCCACAGCACTGTCCCTTCAGCAGGATATTGAGGGCTTACTCGTACCCATCTATAGTCAGCCTAATGTCAGCCCATTTCTAAGTTGGCCATTTGCAGGAGGGACTCCGTGTTCAACATACATGCCTGGTAAGAGGTCACAGGTCACATGAATTGGTGCTACATCTCTGTTTTTTCTCCAGCATGAATTGGCAAGGCCATGAAGTCTGGATACAGGCTCTACTTCCACTTGTGGGTCAGCAGGGGTCTGGGGAGGGCAGGCCTGAGGGGCATGGCTCCTACCAGTTGCCTCATCTACTCCTGGGTTGGTGGGAGAATGTACACCCAGTCCCGGGGAGGGTTACTGCTGAGATGGTCCTATTTCAGTGTGTAAATCCCAGTTTCCAAGTTGGAAGGCCGATGGTGAGTTTCAGCTGCGGGGAGGAGGGGTTGCCTAGGAATGGGTGTGTGTTCTGGAAATGACAAGCACAGAAAACCTGGCATCCTGCCTCTTCCTTTCAGCAGCTGTAAGTCCATCCAGATGGGGATGTAACATCTGGAGCTGCAGCAGCTATTCTACAATCATGAGACAACGAATTCCAAAATGAGGAACAGTGAAGCAGAGGACACCCCAGGCCTCCGGGAGTGCCCCGCCTCGGGCCTGTTTGCTGAGAGGCCATCAGACGATCAGCTTCAGAAGTGTTGCTCAGACTTTCAACTGAATCCAGTTCTAATGGTGAAAAATAAAACCCCTCACACCATCTGTGGATCATCGTCGGGAAAAGTAACTTTCTGAGACAGGGTCTCACTGTGTAGCCCGTAGTGGCCTGGAGCTTGCTCTGTAGACCAGGCTGCCCTTCACTCTGTAGACCAGGCTGGTCTCAGAGATCCGCCTGCCTCTGTCTCCCAAATGTTAGGATTAAAAGAGTGGACCACCACACCTAACCTGCATGTCATCTAAACAGCTTTAAAGTCTGGCCTGTCACCCAGGTAGGGGTGACAGTGTATCCCGCTCCTCCCTCTCCTCCTTGTCCCTCCTCCGTCTCACAAGAGGTGCCTGCCTATGTGTGCTGTGCAGAATTGTTGGTCATTTGTGCATTTTCATGTCGTCAGGGAGAAAACCTGTTTGCTGCCTCTCAGAAAGTTCAGAAGAAATGAAAGACTTTCAAAGACGTGGTGACGTGGCCTTTTTAATTTTTTTTTTTTTAATTGTGTGTGGCTGCTTTGCCTGAATGTGTTTCTGGGCATCATGTACATAACCACAGAAACCGGAAAAGGATATACAAAAGGCTGGTGGATCCCCTGGAGTTGGAGTCACAATAGTTCTTTTTCCTTTCTATTTTTTTGTTGTTGTTGTTTATTTGTTTATTTTTCGAGACAGGGTTTCTCTGTAGCTCTGGCTGTCCTGGAACTTGCACTGTAGATGAGGCTGGCCTCAAACTCGGAGATCTGCCTCCTCTGCCTCCTGAGTGCTGGGATTAAAGGCGTGTGCTACCATGGCCCAGCTATCACAAACATTTCTTCGTCACCTTGTGGATGCTGAAAATCAACCATGTACCTTCTGGAAGAGCAACCAGTGCTGTTTACCACTGGACCATCTCTTCAGCCCCAGGCACGGACTTCCTGAGAATCTTGCTGTCCTGTATGACCAGAGCCAGAGGGGATGTGTTCACATTGCCTGAGGGCTTTGCAGATTTCTTAAAGACAGCACTGAGCTTCTCCCCAGTGGGATGCCGGCTGCTCTTTGCCTCATGGAGAGATCTCCTCTTAGCCAGTCTGCAGGTAGTACCCCCTGCTAAGTAGGTACTCCTGTGTGCTATTTGTCATGTATTTCTCCCGGGGCCACTGAAATACGAGTCTGAGAATATTCAGCCACACCACAGTGTAGCACTAGCTGGCTCTCCCAGTGCCGCTTCCCTGTTCCCTTCTCTGGAGGTTCTAGCCGTTATAACACCATCCACATGAGTCCCACAGCGTGCATGATCACCCTCCTCTCAACACTCAGCAGCAGCGGCTTGCCAGGGAGGATGTGGCTGCCCCTGCTAGAGACTCTTTGGTTCTCCCTCCCTTTGAAGTTAGATTGTCTGGAGGGTGAACTGTGGTTGTCTCAAAGAGTTCATTCTGAAGCCAGAAATACCAACATCTCTGAAATGCGATGACAGAGGAAGTTAGGGCAAGGGACACTTGGTCTTTCATGTCCCAGAAGTAAAAAGTGTCCCGCAGTTACAGGATGCATAGGCATTGTGTGGCTTCAGAGGCTAGCCACGGCATAGATCCGCACGCCTTCATGGCCATGGCTCTGGCCATCCCATCAGACCTGAGACCTTCTCCACCAGAAGCAGAATAAGGTGCAAGTTGTAGGCGTCGGACAGCTGGGCGAATGTGACGACAGTGTGAGCCCTGCCTCTACAGGCTTCTGTAGAGGTTTGGGACACTCAGGACACCAGAGTCACTGTGTCATCCTGTAACAGTGCACCTGAGGGTGTGAACAGTTTGTGAAACAGGTCCACCAGTGTGGAAGGTGATTTGGCTAGATCTACAACAGCTGAAGATAGACCTGCGTGCAGTGCAGTGTTGTACTGGGATACGTTCACCATAAGCACAAGGCTGTGTCTGCCACACAGTGTTCAAGACCTTCCAACAGCTGGTCATGGTAATGTTGGCCACAGGCTGCCCAATGTCCAGCACGGGCCACTGACATGGTGGACACTGCACAACCTGAGTGTTTTAATCACCCAAATAAGGTGACTTAGTATGAACAAAGCAGTGTAAACTGAAAGATTCTTTTCTATATAATGTTCCAAGATAGACAATTAATTGATAGTCCTGAGACCCAGGGAAGACCCAACATAACTCTGGCGTAAGTCGATTCTTAGTTATTGATCCGGAAAAGTAGACCTGACCACGCTTGACTTGGAGGGTGTCACTTCTATTTGTCATTTGCTACAGAGTTGTTAAAAAAGATAAGTGGGAAAACGTGAGAAAAGACCACTGTCTGTTAACGGATGCTTGTGTAGCTCACAGTCGTTCTGTGACTTGGAAACCACCTTGCGACCTGACATTGCCAGAGTTGGCAAGAGAAGGAACTGAGTCCTAGCTGGACATGGTCATGTACACGTGTAATGCCAGCATTCCCACAGCAGGGGTAGGCAGGTCTGTTTCAGGCCAGACAGGGTCACATAGTGAGACCCTGTCTCGAGACAATAGAAATGACTTTTCAGGGGACTATTACAAACACTGAAAGTGCCCTCCAGCTAAGCCCTGCCTAACTCCCCTGTTTTTAAGTTACACCTCACCTATATGCGGAAGGGGACATCCTGTGCTAATGAGATAGCACTGAGTACCATGGAGAGAGCCCAACAGCAGCCAAGGGTGGGTTGATAACCACCTCTGCGTGCAGTCCTGACCACTATGAACAGTCACATGCCCAGCTGCTGGCCCACAATGACTGGAGACAGAGATCTGCCATGGTGTGGTTCCTGGCTCCAGGGCTAGCATGTGCTTCACAGCGGAAATGAGACTCCTCAAGGGAAGGGTAGGGGGGTTGGGGGGTTGTGAGAAGAAGAGAGGATGTGACCAAAGCATACTGGTAAATAGCCTCAGGACCCTCTCGTCAGTCAGCTCCCAGAAACTTGAGATGCTTCCTTCCACACCCAGAACTGTAGCTGACGGAGGCTTTAGCAAGCTCAGGACCATCAAGGATACAAAGTAGTGTCAGTGCTGGCTGGAGCTCATCTGAGCCCATTAGTATAGGGCTCTCCTGCCTTGGCCCTGCCTGTAGTCGCTGGTTCTCAAAGTTCTTGGTGCAGCCCCTGCAGCTACTTTGAAGTCAGTAGCTGAGTTGCTACTGTATGAATACACCTTCAGCGTCAAGTGGAAACACCGCTCCCATTGGTGTGTTCCTAATGGAGAGTGGGGGTGAGGAAGGGAGGTAGGGGTGCCTCGTTCTCAACCGGTGACTGCCTGAGGCAGCGCGGCATGGCAGAGGAAAGAGGTTTCGGACAACTCAGGAAAGTGATTTTTGAGATGAGGTTGGAGTTTTGGGTAGGTCTGCACGGGGCAGGTTCTAGGGAGACTGGATGCCTGAAAGGGCTCGCCAAGACCCTGGGGCTTAGAACACAAAAGAGAGATGAGAGACCCTATGTTGGAGTCTGAAGCTAGGCTTTCCCGCTTCTCAGTGCTGCTTATGCCGCCTAGAGGCAGCCCGGGGTGCTGGGACACTTACCCGTCCCTGGCACATGCCCATCATGTGGCTGTCCTCAGGAGGAGGGGCTCTAGGGACCAGTTAAAAGATTAAGAGAAAAGCTCCATTCTTCCCCAGACCCCAGCCGGCTCTGACTTGGTGAGGCAGGGGACCAGACAGATATCAGAGGCAAGTAACCAAGAAGCTGGGAGGTATCGAGTTTAGAAATGTCTCTACCTGAGCCACTTGGGAAGAGACAGGGGGAGCAGCAGAAGGCCAAGCTCCTTCACACTGGCAATGAGAGTCCTTGAGGAAAACTCAGGGTCCTAGCCAGGAAGTGTATAGACTCTGCCTATGCCATGCCTAGGTTGACCTGTCCAGCCAGAAAGAGCGCAAGTGTGAAGGAAAACTGGAGCGTGCCCATAGGGAAAGAGGCAGATCTGAGGGATGTCAGAGACCCTTGGTAACAACATGAGCTGAGGTCAGAAGCTGGAAGGCTGACACCACCTGGAGCTGCAGCCTCCACCGACTGCTTCCTACTTCTGGAACAAGACTATGCCCACTCAGGAGCCCCAGAAGAGGTTTCTGGGTTCTCTCAACTCCACCGCCACCCCTCACCTTGGACTGGCCTCCAACCAGACAGGGCCTTGGTGCCTGCATGTGTCTGTCCCAGATGGCCTCTTCCTCAGCCTGGGGCTGGTGAGTCTGCTGGAGAATGTATTGGTCGTGATAGCCATCACCAAAAACCGAAACCTGCACTCCCCCATGTATTATTTCATCTGCTGTCTGGCCCTGTCTGACCTGATGGTGAGTGTAAGCATCGTGCTGGAGACGACCATCATCCTGCTGCTGGAGGCAGGCGTCCTGGTGGCCCGCGCCGCTTTAGTGCAGCAGCTGGACGACGTCATTGACGTCCTCATCTGCGGGTCCATGGTGTCCAGTCTCTGCTTCCTGGGCATCATCGCCATAGACCGCTACATCTCCATCTTCTATGCCCTGCGGTATCACAGCATCGTGACGCTGCCCCGGGCACGACGGGCCGTTGTGGGCATCTGGGTGGTCAGCATCGTCTCCAGCACCCTCTTTATCACCTACTACAAACACACAGCCGTCCTGCTCTGCCTCATCACTTTCTTCCTAGCCGTGCTGGCACTCATGGCAATTCTGTATGTCCACATGCTCACTCGAGCGTACCAGCATGCTCAGGGCATCGCCCAGCTCCACAAAAGGCAGCATTCTATCCGCCAAGGCTTCTGCCTCAAGGGTGCCGCCACCCTTACTATCCTTCTGGGGATTTTCTTCCTGTGCTGGGGCCCCTTCTTCCTGCATCTCTCCCTCATCGTCCTCTGCCCCCGGCACCCCACCTGCAGCTGCATCTTCAAGAACTTCAACCTCTTCCTCATCCTCATCCTCCTCAGCTCCACTGTGGATCCACTTATCTACGCTTTCCGCAGCCAGGAACTCCGCATGACACTCAAGGAGGTGCTGCTGTGCTCGTGGTGAGCAGAGACGTGGCTTTCGGCCTCACGGCCAGGGTGCTGGGCAGAGGGTGACGGTGATATCCAGTGGCCTGCATCCCGTGAAACCACGGGTGCTCATCCCTTCCTGGCCTCCACTTGTCTAAGGGTGGACCGGATGAACTTTAAAATAGAAACACAAAGCGCCTGGGGACAGGAGAAAGGGTAGCTGTGACTGCAGGGGCTTACCTGGGGCAGCTACAGGAAGTGGAGGAGACAGGATGGGGACTCTAGCCCTAGGCAAGGGTCAGACCATAGGCTCCTGGAGAGCTTCACCTCTCCCCACTGACAAGGCAACCCCTACTCAGCCCTTCAGGTCACTCCGCCTGGGTCCTTTCCTGCTGGGACAGACAGGAAGTCTCTAAGTTAAAACAGTGACAGGCAAGAGCTATGGTGGAGTGTTATTCCTGGTAGAGGCTTCTGATAGGAGGGTTTGTGGCCATGAAAACTCAGTCATAGCCACACAGTAGGCTGCTTAAGGAAGCGAGACCCTTCCACACGGACCAGAATTGTAGAATGTGCACCTTGCACGAGGGATCTACCCATTTTCACAAGCTAGGTGGGACTGACCTAAAGACCTGTCGTATGGCTCATGGGAATCCCAAGAGGTGGGGACCCAACTGCTCACACCCGCAGGCTACCCTGTCAGGTACCTCCTCACCGTCTTCCCTAGTAGCTCTCTCCAGAAGTTGATTGAAGTTTGGGTGAGAAGAGAGGGAGAGCCATCACATTAGGGAGAAGGGAGTCTCAGAAGCCACAGCTGCCCGCCTGGTTTAGGATACCACAATTCCAAAAGGGCACCAAGTACCCCCAGTCAGGTCCTCTTGGCTTCCTCTCTATGACTGCAAACTCCAGATCAGAGCAAGCAGCTGCAGGTTCAGAAAAAGCTTTCACTTGCCTCTATGGTGACAAGACTCCGTTTGTTCAGGCTCCTTCCGATTTGACCACACACTGCAGCAGGACCACAGCATCTCAGCCCCTGATATGACCCATCTGCAACCTTGGTCAGAGCCTGTCCCTTTCCTGCCCCCATTGTGTAGGAATTTCATCCTACTTTGAGCTGTCCTGAGAAGCCCAGAGGTGGAGAGTCCCTGAGGCACCTGTGTGGTGGTACCGGGGGCTGAGATCTATTTCTATGGGACACTGCCCTTCTGGGAGGGGGTAGGGTGGTCTCAGTGCTCTGCCAGCCGTGGGAAGTATTTAGAAAAGGCCTCTCGGGATAGAGAAGAGCTCAGGAGTACCTGAGTCCCAAGAGAGTGACACCTGGCGTGAACTAAGAAGCTTGCTGCTGTGGAGGGGCAGATACTCATCTTTCTCTTGCTACCACTTGGGATTCCTGCAGCAGAGTCTGTTTTGAGTCCCCACTGATACTGACCACTCCTTTGTCCTCCTCCTTGGGGTGGCCTCAGTCTGGGCTGAGATGCCCTCAACCATCAGGTCAGGAAGTGGCACCAGGCCAGACACTAGCCACACTCTCAGCTCCAGCCCTGCTGAACTAAGGTTGGAAGCTGATTCCCGGCAGGGCCAGCCTTTGCTGGAAGACAGGACCATGAGTCAGCCTTTATCCTGACACCATAGCTCTCTGGGGACACAGAGAGCTCTGGCCTGATGTCATCTGTCAGGGAGGCATCCCAGGCCTCCGGACTCTTCCAAGCATCTTCCCGGTCCAGACAAGGAGACAGAGACAGATGCTCACCCCAGTGCTTCTTTCTTGAAGCAGGCCAGCTGGAAACCAACCACAGAAAGCCACATCATGGACACATTGTGGGGGAGGGGCATCTCTTGAGAACAAAAGACCCATTTCTAAACTTGGCTAACTTAGATGCTCATCCTCAGAGAAAGTTGTATGCGCAGAGCTACCCAGCACACACCCATGCGTGCAAACTGGACCAAGTCGTCTATCTGCAGGTGTTTTTTAAAAGCTTTTTAGTGGCCCCTGTGAAATGAAATGTTTGTGGACCATCCAACTTTAGTACTATTGTCTCAGATTCTTCCCCGAAGAATTTCTGTCATTGAAACATCAAATAGTCCCTGTAAGGTGTCACTGATCCTATATGAATATTAAATCAGTGTGGTCTGTGAACACATTGCAAGCCGTCTTCTGACTGTTTGACTCTGCTTCCCAGTGGGCCCCCGCCCTCCACACACAGTCTCCTTACCTAAGTAGCTCCAGCTCACGCCATGCCCCTCTTCTATATCACTTGTACCAAGAGCGCAAAGGTACCAATGACATCAGGCATGGCTGAGACAGAAAAGACTGTTCAACACCCTCCAACGAGTGGCTCGTATAACCTTAGAATTTTCCACAAAGATATTCAGGGAGCAGGGGTACTTCTTGACAGGTGCATCACCACATCCCAGGTACATACGCACCCTCCCGGCAGCCCTCTGTGGAGTCATGGACTGGTAGCTCTCTCTCCTCCAGAAAACAGTGACCTCAGCTTTGGAGCTATAACCCACCACCCTCCCATCGTTCCCAGGTCTGCACAGAGGTCTCAGGAAGGCTTCGGCTTCCCCTGCCTTTCCCACCTCAAGCGACTCAGCAAACCCAGAGAATATGGGTCTTGATTCTTAAGCACTTGAGAGAAAGAAAGACCCACCTCACAGAGCTGCAGGGTGGGGTTGGGACAGGGAAGAAATGGGGGAGGGCAGCTACTGGGGTGGGGCACTAAGGGGCCTGGGTTCTATTGTCCCCAGAGCGGATCGCCCTCCAGTGGCCCCTCCTCCGAAGGCGCGGTCAGACATGCTCCGCATTGTGCGGGCGGATCTCGATGCCGGTGCTGATGCTGCAGAGCCTGCCGCATTGTGCGGCGCCCCAGCATTGGCCCGCAGCGCTTACATCAGCCAGCGAGGGCGGGGCAGCCTCTTATAAGAAGCCGCGGCGGAGGCTGTCGATCCTCCGCAGCCCGCTGTCCGCCTGCCTTTTCGTCTGTAGCCGCGTGAAGTCAGCATGAGGGAGATCGTGCACATCCAGGCCGGCCAGTGCGGCAACCAGATAGGGGCCAAGGTGAGGCTGAGCCGTCCGGCTTCCTGGGTCCCCACGAGCGCCAGCCCCAGGGAGGGAGAGAGGGGAGGAGAGAAAGGCGGCTCTGGGAGCCACTAGCGGAACAAAGGGAAGAGCCCAGTCCCTTACCCGGCTCTTGGGACCCCGGGGTCCCCAATCTGCTCCCCTCACTTGCGTCACTCTGCTCTGCGCCCAGGTTGCAGCAGAAGGCTGGGGGTAACCCTTCTGACTCTCATTTTCATCCATTCTGCGCACCCACACACCACGGTACCATCAGGTACAGGGGATGTGGTTGGGGGGCGCCGACTGGGCGTGGCCTTCTTTGAGGCTGCCACTTAAGCCTTGAGTAAGATGGGTGTGTCGGGCAACTTTGGGTGGGGCTCTCCCCTAAACCCATAATGACAGTACATGCCTGGATCCCCACTGGAGAACTAGACGGTCTTCAGGGAGCAAGGCCGCCCTCACATCCTCAACCTCGGTCTGCTCACCCTGTTTCCTTGCCCCGCCCTGTTCCTTTGTTGGAGGAGTTCAGCCTGCACTCCAATGACCTTGATCCAGAACTGGACTCTATCTGTGCAAATTTCCCATCTCTAATTGTGCCCTCCCAAGGCCTCCCAGTCGGGATTGAGCACAGAACAAAGCCGACTGCAAGGACTGCCTCAGTTTCCCCTCTATTGTTAGCCCGCCTCCAGGTGTTGAAGCCCAGGCAAAAGAAAAACAAAACAAAACAAAAACGGAGGAGGGGTTGATGCAGTGACTCCGCAATCCTACTATCCTTAGTGAGGTAGCTGTCCTGTTTCCAAGTCCTAGGAGGCTGCTCCTTACCCAAGGTCACACAGCAAGTGGAAGACAGAACCACTTGATTCCTGCAGAAGCCCAGCCTCCGGTTGGGCTGCGTTTGAGTGGGTGGGGTCAGCTACCTCAGTCTTCTCCCTTCTGAACAATGTGAACCGGAGCTTTGTCCAGATGGATGCTGGCTGTAGCTTAGGGACGGTGTGTAGCTAGTTCCCAAAGGAGGAGGTTGGGTAGACAGGTCCTGGGAGGGAGGGGACGAAGCAGAGAGTACCTCTGGAGGCTGTTGCCATAGAAACCGGGCAGGAACAAAAAAAGCTAATTACCACGGGCTGGGGCAGTCACGTGGCTACCATGTAAATTACAAGTTTGGCTCTCCCTCTCCTCTAGTTAAAGGGGGAGGGAACAGCGCCGCCGAGACTCCCTAATCACAGAGGAGACAGCTGTTTCTACCCTACAAAGGAAATTTGGGTGGGGTTGGAGAGCGGAGGGTAGGGGGGCCTACAGAGGAAGCCTAAGACAGGAGCCTCAGATCAAATCAGGGCTCCTGGGATGGTCACTGACAGCTGCCCTGGCCTGAGGGGAGGGTGAGGGCTCGTTAATGTGGTCACAGGTGCCAGGCTTTCCCTGAACATCTGCTCCTGAAAAGGGAAGGGGTGAGTGGGGGAGGGGGGTTTCCCATCCGAAGGCCTCTTTGGTGACCTTGCTGAAACTGTGCTGTATTGTGCTCTCACAGGGTCTCCCATTCAGTAAGGGCCTAGAAGTCGGTCCACGCCCAGGCTCCATGAAAGGCGCTCTGGCTCCAGAACAAGCCTGAGTGTTGGGCCCAGCTGAGGTCTGTTATGCTTCTCAGCACTGTGGCCCGTAGGTTTGCCCATTTTTTAATGTTTAAGTTTTTTTTTTAAATAAAAAGTGTTTAAATTTTTAATACCAATTATTTTTAACAATGCAAATGATGAGTACATTTTCTGAACAGGGGTGTCTGCCGTTTCCACCGTCTCCCTTCTTAGTGATCAGCCTGAGGCGTGTTGGCAGGTTCCATCCAGCCCTCTGCCCTGGAGGATCTCCCAGAGACCATACTGAAGGCCCAGGCCCTGTGGGGATTTACCTGCTTAGTGTCTGCCCCAGGCAAAATAAACTTCCTTGGCCAGATTTACTTCCTATTTTTGTAGCTGGCTTTAGGGTCCCTG